GAAAATGAGTCACCTTACAATCAGATTGCAGAGCCGTAACCCTGGCTGGGCAAGAAGGGGGAGGTGGAGAGCCCTGGTCTCAGCCCTGCCTCCTCCCTGCCAGCTCACAGGCTCCCCAGTGCCCCAAGCAACATATTTGGCAAGTAAAGGCATTGCCACTGCCAAATCCACGGATTTTACACTGGGGGAGCAAAGTGGCATTGGGGGACCACCAGATCCAACTCCCAGTGTCTGCTTGTGATGCCTCAGCACTGTTTATTTAGCTGCGCTGAGCTGAATGTAGGGGATCTGGATGGCTTGGTGCTCGTTTATGGCAGCAGTGAATCTCGCCAGTTAGCTTTAATAGAAATCCCAAGGCAGAAATCCCCGGAGTAAGCTGGGGCAACTGAAAGCACATGTATCAAAAGCGCATTTCAGCTGTTGCGCTCCCTGACCCCACGCAGCTGTGAGTGGACTAGGGGGGGTTTAGAGCTGTGGGTCACACAGCCCGGGGCTGGGGGCTTTACATACTTCAACACCCACCCGTCGAGTGAATAAATCCAGTGCAACTGACGGACACTTTGTCTCCCCTGCGTAATGAAAAGTAAAAGCTTCCTCTGCACCGGTTAAAAATAGTTTGGGCTGACTGTGCTCCCATTCAGCTCCTGCATCTGTGTTTGCCCAGCCGACCACCAGCTCCTGGTGCTTGTGTGCCGCAGCCTGGGAAGGGGGTGGCATTTCTGGTATTACGAGTTTGTTCTCCAGCTCTTCCCAATGCAGGCACCCATGTCCAGGGTGCAGCTCTCTTTAGTGTTTTGCTACTCTTTTTGCCTTATCACATCCAATGGTGACTTCCCAAATTGCCACCTCAATGTCTGCTCGCATCCCATCACAGTGTGAGCGATTTTCATTTCCAAATGCGCTCCGCTGAGCTGTCCTATGCTGGCTCCCGAGCCCAAACCTGTGGTGTGTTCTGGCTTCGTGGCACAGAAAGTCAGGATTACTTGGGGCATTATTCTTAAAGCTTTTGGAAAAGAGTCTTTTAGGGAGCCTGAGGACATCTGCAATCGTGTCAAGTTGTGAAGAACCTAGACAGAGAGAAAAGGGTCTTCTGATGAAGCTCACACTGCAGTGAGGAGTCGGGGGTCTCACTAGCAGCTGTGTACTGACCTGAACTGCTAGTTAAAATCCATCATGGATGTTTTGTGCAGTCGGAGGGAAGAGATGGAGATGCTGACAGCAGAAGGCAGCTGGGGTGAAGGTCTGGTTCCAGGGGTTAGTAGGTAAGGTCCTGCCTCTGGGTCTTGGGGCAGCTGCGTGCAGGGACATCTTAAAAACTGGCACTGTCAAAAAGCAATGTGCCCCAGTAGGTGTGGAATAAAGGAGTGATGAAATCTCCCGTTTACAGCTGGATCCTGTAGTCCAAAAGACTTTTTGAATCCCTGTGTTTGCTCATGGCCCTGTGCCCTATTCTTGATCTATTTCTGGGGTGCACATTTTAAGGGAGAATTCGGTACTGGAAGCATGTGCAGTTGCAATGAGTAATTCATGTTCATAGCTCTGGGGTGAGAGAGCCCTGTGATGGGTGTACGTCTTTAGCCTCAGGTAATGCTGCTCCCAGGGAGAGGTCCCTTCTGTGGGGTGTGCCTGGGCCGGCCATGGAGTGGGGGACCCAAAGGCGACTGTGGATGTGCTGTCCTCCTGCTCGGCCTCTTCTCTCTGCAGCGCTCCTTGCATGCAGGCAGCCTCTTCTGGGCTGTCCTAATGGATGAAATGAGGAAAATTCTAACAGCTCCTTCTCTTCCACTGAGCCAACGTGTCTGATGATGCAAAAGTGAGCAGAGATGTGCAGGAACTCCTCCGTGCACTGGGATGCACAACCTGCCTTTTCCATCGCAGGAAAGTCCTTTTAGTTTTCAGAAAACCCCATGGCACATGGTGAGAGGAGGCCAGATCCAAGGCACATCTCGCTGGGGATAATACATTCTACATCCTGGGCCTACTGCTGTCACTGGAAGCTAATTCCAGCTGCGTTTTTAAGCCCCTTGCAGTCCGGGCTGAGGGCCAGATGCTGCTTTCCATAGTTTTCCAATAACCCCACAGCCTCATAAATTCACTCAGGTGCTTGTTCTGGCCACTCTGGACAGCAGCAGTAGCTCTGGCTGGCGTTTCTTTAGGCATTTGCATTTTGGCTTCCAGGTTTGCAGAGGCAGTAGTTAATTTGGCTCCATCCTGACTTTTCTCACAGCCCCTTAGTGATGTTTGCAGACCTCCAGCTTTACTCTGGCTTGCTGTCGCCACAGTTTCCGCATGGTTGTTGCTAAAAGCCCAAGTTCCCACCAGGTTTGGGTTGGAGCTGTGTTGGTTATGAGCGGTGGGAACTTCTTGCAGAGCAAGGGGCCCCTTCTTGCAGCACATTGCAGGTACCTGGGTCCCAGGTTTGGCCTAGTCCCAGAGCTGATGTTGGTGGAGATAATAACACAGGAATGCTTCATTTTCCCTTTTGTAGTTACAGTTTTAGTCGATTCTTCCCACCCTCTGCCCCTGGGAGAAATGCAGTATTCGCCTATCCAAGGAATCTTGCAGTCACAGCAATTTTCTTTTAATAAGGTGCTTTTATTAAAGAAAGGAGCAATTAAGAAGTAATAAAAACCTAATTAAAATTCTTAAAAGCTCCATGTTTTTTACCCAAGTCTCATGTTGACCCCCTGAGGGAAGACCCACAGATGTAACAAAGAGTTTGTGAAGTCTGACAGCCTCCTACGTGGGCATGCCAGGTTGTCCTGTGCCGGCCGGCGTGCAGCCTCCAGGTCACCCCTGCCTCAGGAAGCCACCTCAGACATCCCTTTTCTTTTACCCCCTGCTTCCCCTAGTGCCCCTAAAATTGCTCACAAACCCCTGTGTGCTGCCCTGTTATTCTCCAGTGCAGCTGGTGGTGCTGGTGTTTCATTCTTGGTACTTTTAGGGAGCAGCCTTATGACCTTTTCTTGCTCAAAAGGAGTCCAAGGGGTCAGACTCTTTTTTTTGGGGGAGATAGGTTTGAGCATTTGGTGGTGCAGCCAGCAGCCTCCTCCAGGGATGGCAAGGGGGAACAGGAAAATCCCGAAGACCCAGAGATCATCCATATGTGCCGATGCCTCTTTCTCGTGACAATTTTTTTTTATGGCTAAGTGATAAATGACACTTTTCTACACACAGGGGGTTGATTTCTACTTGCTCAAGCTGGGAGGTGGGAATCGTCCCTGCAGTTTCCCCCCTCTCACAGTGCCTGCTGCTAAGCCTGAGGGTGATACAGTGGGTTGGGATTGAAATCTTGCTCCCCTGCAGTTTTACCATTTTAGTGCAAAATTTCTCCTCCTGACTTAACCTTCTGCAGGGTGGTGCGATCTCTCGAATAAGACCTCATTGCCTTGTCTGCACATGAGGGATTACACCAAAGGGACTCGAGATCTAGTGATAATAAGGTCTACAAAAGTGTCAAACAGCACTTGTCGTTATTTATTATTCAGAGAGGTTTTAACTCCTGATTTTGTCAACAGGTTGATAGGGAAATGTATTCTGCCTTCGTTGGAGCTCGCTGTGAGCTGCAGAGGTGCTCACGACCTGGGGCCATGCAGTGGTTTGCAGGGCACCTTCCTCCCCTTTTTTTACACAGGAGAGTTGCAAAATGACTCCATGTGCATCATAAAGTGGGAATTAACAGTGGTTTGTCAAATCAGTCATGGGCAAATGTGAAAGCACTAG